GCAGGTATCAAGCGAAACTATAGAACAGCTGAAAAAGGAAGCGGATGTACTGCGTGATAGTGTTCTAGCCAAGGAAGAGGAGCTGAAAAATGTGGGTTTAATACCACAATACCTCACAACTCGTAGTTTCTTTCCAGATGAAAGGAAGGTGCACTCAGTTTGAGCAGCTTGCTAAAGATATACAGTTCTCAATGGATCGTGAATTGTCAGCGAAAACAGCTGAAATAGTAAGTTCTTGTAAGACATTGCAACATCATGTCTAACTGACTTTCTTTAGGAACGACTACATTCTTCCGCAGCCGAACTGGAAGCAGCTGCTGCCGCAAAAGAATCGTCATTGAGTCAGGAAATCTCTGCTCTGAAAAGGTCGATAAAGGCAGTTCAATCTGAGTTGGACGAACAGGTTCGGATCTCAACAGAATCTGCGAAAACGGCAGAGGAGCTTACTACTGCAAACATGGGCAAGTTATTGACATAGATCATAGCAGAGCATTTTCTCTCTGTAAGCGTGGTAACAAGTATGCTCATTATTGGCAGTTTCAGAGCTGTCGAGGAAGATCTCATCGTGGGAAGAAGAGAAGAATGCCCTTATTGAGAGGTAAGTGTTCACAGTGAACTTCCGGAAGATTTTTCTTTTATGCAAATCTTGATACATATTACCAGATGTCTGAACACCGAAAGTGATTTGGACTTCGAGCGAGAACGCGCTTTGGAAAACAAGCGGCGCTTCGATGAAGCATTATCAGCAATGCATGAGTTGGGAAGGGCCAACCAGTCACTGCAGGTGGGTACTCCAATAAACGCTGTATGATTTTACAATGCAGATTAGATAATCTTTCACTCATACAGTAGTTTTTTTATATTCGCAGTTTTAGTGGTGAAAAAAAAGTTAGTTCTTGGGCATTGTCCACTGATGGCGTACTGTAACGTCTGCCTTGCAAATGTGGGTCTCTCTGAACTATAAGCCTCAACAAGCTTATTCATATTTTACCGCAATTCCCATTAGCACGTACCTCCATCGGAACCTTGAATTTTCATATTGACTTTTTTTGATGAGTTACCCAACACTACGAGTTGCTATGAATTTCTGGCCAAAGGTTCTCCGTGGTTCAGGTTTTAGACTGCACGTGAAAAATTCTGAAGTTTTGGAAGGATAGGGTAAACTTGCGAGACACAAAGCATTACAGATTGATCTGGCGTTAATTCATTTTTACAAAAATGCATGCATTGCATGAGAGGAATTTCAACTTGCACCAGCGCTGCAAAGTCGCTAAATGTACAGGGTGTCCCAAAAAATGTATAGAATGTTTTATCTTTGATAACTCTCTTTCATCCAAGTCTTTCGCCGAGCTTTACATGTCATTCTGTATAGCGAGGTTCAACTTAGATTTACAGCATGGCGATTCATTTATCATTCTTCATTACTGTAGGATTACGGTAGGAACTTTG